CAGGGCAAGGGATTCGGTGGGGACAGGTTCTACAAGGAATCGAAGACAGTAGGGGCAGCGGCGAGCAGGGGACAGAGAGGGACATTCCAGACAGAGGGACCCAGAGGTGCCACTCCAGGACAGGTAGGGGCCTGCAATCCCACCTCTCCCAGAGCTGGGGGGTGAGGGAGCTGGATCATGAGGGACGGGCGAGAGGTCAAGGTTCACCACCCAGAGGGTTTTAAGAGTGATGTGTGGGCACTTGACGGGGACTGGGAGAAAGCAGAAAAGCTGAACGTCCAGTCCGTGCCATGATTCTTTAATAGCATTGTACAGAGTGACCTGCAAGACAGCATCGCGTCGGGAAATATTTGGGGAAGAGTTAGAAATTAATGATGACTGCGCAAAGGAGAATTAGTGCTTATCTGAGACAGGGCTGATCCGTGGAGACACATGCTCAGATTCAGCTCGTTAGGTGTAGTTTCCCTCCCTCCCTCCCTCCCTTCCTTTCCATTCCTTGTTTTTGAGAAACAGAGACAGGCGCCAAGTTCACTGGTTCACTCCCCAAATGCCCACAATGGCAGGGGCTGAGTTGGGCCAAAGCCAAGTGCCAGGAACTCAAACCCAGGTCTCCCCCATGGGTGGCAGGGACCCAAGTACTTGAGCCGTCACTGCTGCCTCCCAGGGTGCACATTAGCAGGTATGCTGGAGTTGGGGAGCAGAGTGGGGGATCGAACCCAGGCACTCATGAGGGGAGCTGGCGGCTCAACTGCTAGGCTCAGCACCTGCCCTCCGTTTGATATATTCTGAATCAGAACAAGGGTCTTGCAATAAGAAAAAGATAAAACACACCCTAGAGGGGCATTCTCCCAGCCTCAAGGCAATAGGAATACATATTCACGTAGTGCCTAGCTTTCCTGGTGGGTGTGTCATCAGACCCTTGCTCTCTCCATTGGCTGAGCTGGAAAATGAAATCCAGTGCAAGTTGTCCCCAGGGCCTGGGATCCTGTTTCCCTCGGTGTGCACTGGTCCCTTGAAGAACGTGCTGGGCCTCAAGCTTGCCCCTCCCGCCACGTGGCCAGATGGACCCGGAGCCGGCAGCCCAGGGAACACAGGGCTGTGGGTTCGCAAGGGGCAGAGAGGACCAGCTCCCCTGCTGACGCCCAGCGTTTAGATCACGTCATTAGGATCACACATTCATAGTGTGGCCCGAAAGAGAACCCCAGCTGATGTGCTCAGCAGATGTTTGCAGGAGTGCAACCAAGCCCCGCCCCCACCTACACACACACACACACACACACACACACCCCAACTTGGAACACTGAAATTGATTAGAAAGACGGGGGCGGGGGGATGCTGACGTCATGACGTCACATGCTAATCCGCATTCCCAGTGAAGCACACTCCTTATACCAGTGGTACACACCATGGTGCTAACAGATAAAGTTCATGTTTTTGAAAGCTTGGAATTGGTCGGCGCCGCGGCTCACTAGGCTAATCCTCCACCTTGCGGTGCCGGCACACCGGGTTCTAGTCCCAGTCGGGGCGCCGGATTCTGTCCCGGTTGCCCCTCTTCCAGGCCAGCTCTCTGCTGTGGCCAGGGAGTGCAGTGGAGGATGGCCCAGGTGCTTGGGCCCTGCACCCCATGGGAGACCAGGAGAAGCACCTGGCTCCTGCCTTCGGATCAGCGCGGGCCGGCCATTGGAGGATGAACCAACGGCAAAGGAAGACCTTTCTCTCTGTCTCTCTCTCTCTCTCACTGTCCACTCTGCCTGTCAAAAAAAAAAAAAAAGTAAAGAAACTCCACTTGGATTCAAATTTGCAAATTCGAAATATGGGGCAATTCTGCAAAGACTGGATTATAATATGGGGCACGGGGCAGGTACCTTAGAAGCTTGTGGAGAACAGGCCGCAAAGAGAAGTCGATTTTGGTGCAGGGCAACGAGATTCCCATGCATGAAGAAGTCTTCTGAAAGTTCATGGAAGACGTGTGCTTTGAAAAAAATTATGCATGGAACTCAAAATATTCCGTACTCCAATGAACTTCATGTTTTCATGCCATTTTTCCCTCAACAGTGTGCATTGCATCACAATCGTGGCAAAAGGGTTTGCTCATTTATTTGGAAGGCATCTCTTGTGTTGGGCACGAATGCACACTGAGAACAGGCTGGGATGCCAGACAGCCTGGGGTGGGATGGGGCGGGGCGGGGCCGGGGGAGCTGCCACAGGGAGGCACCCAGGCTCAACAGGAGAGCCAGGCAACAAGCCACCAGGTTGATACTTAATTGCACTGCTGCTAAGTGCTGCAGGGGAGGTGGAGAAGTATGCAACAGAGACACTCCAGAGAGCTTGAGGAAGCTGCCTTGCTGAAGGGATCCGAGCCCAGGGCTCTGAAGCATGTGTAGGAGTTAACCAGGTATCAGGCAAAAGATCCCCCGCAGGAGGAATGACACGTGTAAAGGGCCTGAGGCCAGAAGCTGCCTGGGGGAAAAAAAAAGACCAGGAGGGCTGGAAAGGCAGCCGTGTTGGGGAGAGCAGCCCAGGATGCTGATGGGAAAAGAGAGGCTCCTTGCACAGGGCTGACTGTCATCTGTGAAAGCCAGGAAGCCACCCAGGGCTCCGAGCCGGAGGTGCAGGTGCACAGATTGGATGTTCAAAGCTACTTCGGCCTTTCTGAGGAAGACCTGGTGGCGCCAGCTGCAGGGGAGTCCACCACCGGCTCCTCTTCCCCCCAACTCGGCCCCATCACTGTCGCCTAAGTACAGCCATGGGTTTGAAAGAGGCCGGAAAGACGCCCAGGGAACCAGACCGAGGTGGCGATCCACCAAATCAGAGTCCCCCTGCCCCACGGCAGCGGAAGCCCCCACAGACGCCAAGGAAAGGGATCTTGAAGGCCAGGGCCCCTCTCGGATGCCCACCAAGGCTTCGCGACTCACTCCAAGAAAAACATGCTATGGGGAAGGGCCTGAGACGCGGGACCTACCCGGATGGGAAGCCACCAATCACCGACTTGCACAGGGCTCCTGGGACTGTGGAGCAGGTGCTTCTGTCAGCACTGAGCCAGGGTCAAGGTGAAAGCCATGGCAGTGGATGCCCGGCCGTCAGTTGTTTTTTTAAAAAGCTGCTTCGGAGTGCCAGGCGAGAGTAGCTATGGGCTTCTCAGTAGCCAGGGGAGATGTGACAGAGGGAGACGGGGGGAGGGGCACACGGGAAGCATGCAGATGCACAACTGTGGGACATGGAATGCAAGGTGGCCTGGAGGCGGAGGGAAAGGGGAAGGCAGAGGTGCCTCTCACATCTCCCACATCCCCAGAGACAGAACAGGTGCATGGGAGCCTGGGCTCTGCTTTAAACATGGGAGATGCTGGCAGCCGGAGCCAGGCTGTGGGCAGCCAGAGCCGTGGGCTGCAGCCACACAAGTGGCCTGGCCTGCACGTGCCATCTGGGTCTGGGTGCTGGCTGAGACCCCAGCGAGGGGGAAACCCTCCTGTGTCGAGACTGTTAGAGCAAGGACAAAAGAGGCTGGGGGCTGGGAGTGGAGGGGCTCCAACAGCCCAGGCCCGGGAGCTAAGGGGCCGGAAGCATCCTCAACGGTGCTGCCCAAAGGTGACCCCTCCCTTCGACCTGAAGAGTGTCCTGGGAGCCAGACGCTTCAGCGGGTCAGGCCAACTGCCTTCAAACAGCGCAGTGACCCCGTAGCTTTCGCACTGTCTTCTGGAAAATTCACTTCGACAACAATGCCAGGGAGTCTCTGAGGCCACTGGGTAGGGGAAAGCCCACCACACTGGAGTGAGAAGTCCCCCAGATGTTCACTAAACCTATGCAGCGGGTCATTCTGCACCTGAGTCTCCCCACCTGTGGCCCCGGATGGATGCTACCCTCACACCCATATCGTCCCGAGCGCAGCTGCTGGCAGTGCCCTGGGTTAGATATTAATAGCAAGCTGAATGTTTCAAATGCCCTTGATACTGCGGGCCAGGCATGAAAAGTTCTACTATACCGATCATTTCTTTCCCATGCCTCAGTTTCCCTTCCAGGAAAAGAAAATCCAGGGAACTGAGACAACTCAACCCAGAGCATTGCTGCAAAGGTTTGCCAAGCTTCTGGGTCTCTGTGCACAGTGCCGAGGTGTGGAAGACTGCCTTCCTGGCTCAGAGAATTTTCTAGTGAACGAGAGAAAACAACAGCCAGCCATTTCTAAGACCTACGGGTTATGGTACATGAGCTGTGACAGTTCCGCCCCAGCTATGAAAGAGATAAACCCAGGCTGCTGTGGGGACCCAGCGCAGGCCATCTGCACCAGCCTGGGGACTCAGAGAGAGGCCCTCGCCGTATGGTGACAGATACGATGCACCTCGGTGACTCTCCAAAGAAATATGCTCCCCAAATTTGAGCTATTCTGAGTATTAATATTATTAATAAACTGCCTTGGACTCAATTCATAGCCAGGAGCTCCAAGCCAGGGGAGGGCTTAGGGAAACCCCAATGGTCTACATTGAAAATTTGCATGGTGGAAGCATTTTAATAAGTTTACACTGAGCACTGGGAGAATCCTCCTGGGCAGCTTTTTGGTTCTTTTAGCTGTCAAAAGAGATGCTCAAGTCTCCTGCCAACAATAAATGGGATACTACACCAGCACTTGCTGAGTGGCGTTGAGTCTGGCCGCTCCAGTTCTCTTTCCTGCAAATCCTCAGTTAGTCATTCAGTGGGAGACAAGGCCTTTGGCCATGTTTTACCAGCAGAAATAAAACCACTCATACCTGGACGGGTAATGTTAGCAATCCCAAGGATTCCTGAAGATTCCGTGGGCCGCGACACATTAGTAACTTTTGGAAGGGATGTAAATGGATGGTAGCTTGATATTCAATGTTGATTTTCAATGTGGAGTTCAAGTGCAGATTTTAAAAGAAAAACAAACCGAAAGCCAAGTGGCTCGTCGTATCACTGACATTAAAGACACTCTGTCCACTGCCCTCGTGGACCATAAGTTCCACTGAAATTATTTTTCCTCTTTTTTCTAGATGAGCCGTGATGATACGCAACACGGGCATGAGAAGTTTTAAAGCTACAGATCTCGAAACTCACTGAGGCAGGGACCTGCGGCTCCTACTTCTGTAACAGGTACGGAACCAGCCCAAGAGCCCACAGGTGGGAGCACCTGTTGCTAGCCCTAATGCGGAGGGGCGTCACTGGACATGGCGGCCGGGTGAGGCCAGCTTTGCGGCCATCTCCACTGACGCCAGTCTTATCGCATCGAGACTGAGGACTCCCCTAAACAAAGCTAGGTGGAGGAGGCAGGGCTGGGGGGATGGGCTGTTTCTCCTTTCCCTGAGGCGGGGTGCCTTGGTTATTTCTAAACGCTCTGGATAGAGTTTGCAATGATGATGCAAAGGCCAGATAAAGCAGAGACAGGACGTGTACTAAGAGGAAATGGGAGGTCTCATAGATTCAAGGTGAAGATTTGGGGGCGGCGGGGGAGGGGAGAAGCTGGGGAAAGCGTGGGGGACCGGGCAGCCCCCTGAGCATACTGGAAACTCTGGGGCCAGGAGGGTGCCCGTGCACACGTCCACTCTGCATGACCCTGAGGAGGAACAGAACCGTCCACGGGCCTGTCCTGGGTCTCACGCCTGCACTTGGCCCAGGCACCTTGACTTTCAGCCCCCCTGAGACAGAACCTGACCAGGAGAGAAACTCCCCAAAAGGCACCAAGTGTTGTCACTCAGAGGACAGACATGGAAGCTGAGGCTTAAGAAAATAAATAAAAATAAAAAGCCAGTGCCTGCTGGTAGGAGGGTATCTTCTTGGCTGGAGCTGTTTGCCTGAGTGAGACCCTGGATATAGGTCTCCAGCTACCTTCTTGCCATGTGCAGGTGAGGTGTAGAAATCCCAGCACGACTGCCAAGATCAACAGCCCAGCGTTCACGGACACCCAGAGATGCCTTGGCTCTTAATGGGCAGGAAATGTTAACTGACGGAGGTCAAAGTTCACTAACGCCCCACCACCCCCTGAAGTCACTAACGCCCACCACCCCTGAATCCCAGAAACACAACACAAGCTCCACGGTGGCATGGCTCAATCACAAACTCAAGGCTTTGCAGCGTCATGGAGGACCCGGCCACCCTGCCATCCCCAGCAAAGCTGGTTCCTCAGATGGCACAGGGAATGCCTTGTGTCCGGCCCCGACCCCCCCCCCCCCCCCCCCCAACAAAATGCACAAGTTCAAGTTCTAGCCCCTGTGCCTCAGAGTGTGACCTTCCTCAAAAGTAGGGACCGGTGCAAGTGTCACCAGTTAGGATGACGTCATTACAATGGGCCCTCACCCTTGGGACTGGCGTCCTTATGGAAAGGGAACGTGGGACATGGAGGGAAGCAATACGGGGAGAAGTCGGCCGCCCGCAAACCAAGGTGAGTGAGCCATCCCTGCAGACCCGCGGGGCCACCCATCCAGCCGTTCACCCTGGCAGGAGCGGTTCTGCAGCCCCTGCTACGGGCGCCCTCTGCTAGGCTTCCTGTCTGCATTCAGAGCAGGGAGGGAGGGCACAGCCCCAGTGGAGACAGCGGGGAGGGCGGGACCTCTGTGTCCCCGTCGCCAAAGCAGCATCCCCAAGCCACCATGGCCGGGCAGCAGGAGGAGCGGGGGCCAGCATGGGGACGATGTAGGGTTGGTGGCCCGTCCCTGCCACCCCTGGGGCCGCCACCCTCCCTTTCAAGTGGCCTTCTCCAAGGCGTGCCCTTGCTGCTGCCACTCCCATTGTGAGTCTGGGATCTGCAGCCTGGAGACCCAGGAGGAACTGAGTCCAGACACAGCCTGGGGACAGAATTCCTTTCTCCTGGGGGGAAGCTTTGCCTTTTTTTTTTTTTTTTTAAGCCACTCTGCTGAGGTATGATTGACATCCACCAAGCTGTGGCCATTAAATGCACACAACGTGGTGACTTTGCAAAGAAGCACACTTCCATGGTCTTGATTTCTCACTGGGTCTGTGATAAAGAAACTAAACAGAAGAGCTTCCCTCATAGGAAATGTTTGAAGCACACAGTACAGTGCTGATAACCATGGGCAGCATGTGCTACGCAGCAGGGGCCCAGGTCCTATTCTTTATTTATTTGTAAGGCAGAGAGAGAGAGAGAGAGAGGGAGGGAGAGAGAGAGAGATCTTCCATCTGCTGGTTCACTCCCCAGATGCTCAAAACAGGCAGAAGCCAAGAGCTAGGGAACTCCCTCTGTGTCTCCCACGTGGGTGGCAGGGACTTGAGCACTTGGGCCATCATGGGCTGCTTCCCAGGCAGGTTAGCAGAGCAGCTGGGACTCAAACCAGCGCTCCAATATGGGATACCTGTGGCTCTGCCTGCTGCACCACAATGTCCACCACCTTTTTAGATCAGGTTATTGGTTTGGGGAGTTTTGTTTTATTTTGTGCTTTGTTTTGTTTTTTTTTTTTCTTTGTTCTAGAGTTGTAAAAGTTCCTTAAGTATTTTGCCTATTAATCCTTTATCAGATACATGTTTGGCAAATATTTCTTCTGTTTCATGGACTGTCTTTCCATTTTGTGGATTTTTGCTGCACCAATAATAATAATAATAATAATAATAATAATAGGTTGTTTTGGGCCCTCATGTGCATTTTTCTTTTGTGGCCTGGGACCTCGCTCGTTTTTCTCCCACGGCCACCAACTGCTTAGACAAGGCCCACCTGCATGATGGGGCGTGAGCTGATTTACTCGGAGTCTACCGATTTCAAGGTTAAGCACACTTGGAAAACACCAGCACGGCAACGTGTAGGCTTTGCCAGAACTGGGTACAACAGGCTAGGCTCACAACATTGACCACCAAGGGCCCGGTGGCTCCCCTGGACCGGCAGGCAGTGCCCGTGCAGAGCTGCTCCGCTGAGTGCTCTCCTCACATCCTGTGCTTCTCTTTTGCAGAAAACAGAGAAGAAAAAAAAAAAAGTGCATTTGTACCTGGTCACAGAGGAGCCTGAGTCTGTGGGCAGAGGACTGACCACACCTGACCCAAAACCACTGCCCAAAGGCGCCCGCCGGTTCACCGAGGCCATCTTCCCAGTGCCGTCGGACGATGCAGGGGAACAAGAAGTGCACGGATGGGTTCAGCGACACCTCCAGCATCGGCAGCGTGTTGGACGAGGCCGACAGGGAGGTGAGCAGCCTCACGGACCGTGCCTTCCGGAGTCTGTGCCTCTCCGAGGACCCGTTCTTCCACGACTCCGATCTGGCCCTGTCCCAGGACCCCACCGGCCAGGTGCTCGGGGCGTTCCCCCAGGGCACGGTGAGCCACACCCACAGGAAAAGTGGCATCTGGAGCCAGCTACCGGCATCGCAAGGCACGGAGCATGCGGGCTGGGCGGCCACCTTCCAGCAGCTACCCAAGTACGTGCAAGGCGAGGAGAAGTACCCCAAGAGCAGCCCCCCGCTGACTCCGGCCCAGAGGAGGCTGGAGGTGCCGGTGTCGGGCCTCAGGAGCGGCAGCAAGCCCATTTCCAAGGTCTCGTCACTCATCAAATCGTTTGACAGGCCCGAGAGCCAGCGCTGCGACAGCAGGCCGCCTCCCAGCAAGCCCCCCGTTCTGAAAACCACCCCCAAGTTCGCTCCTCTTCCAGACAGCGGAGTCAACTTCTGCTTCGATTCCGCCTTCTTAACCGTCCGCAGAGTGCCCGCCGAGGTGTCCAACACGCATCAGAACCAACCCAGCAGGAAGCACGGAGGCCAGGAGTCCCCCAAGAACCCCGACATGGCTTGTCCCGGCTCCGGCAGCTTCCTCCCAGGCGTGGACACTGTGACCAGCTCAGCCCAGTTCCCCTCCCCGCCCCACAAGCCAGCCAAGGGCGACCCGGGGAGAGGCAAAGAGTGGGCTCCCAAGGGGACATTTCTACACAGTGAAAACAGTGCTTTCGAGTCATGGAACGCCCACCAACCCAAGCTCTTGGAGAGAAAGGACACCGCGGACCCCACCCCAGACACCAAGGCCCCCAAGCTTTACCAGGATGCGCCCTTGCTAAGGGAGCCCCAGCCCCCCGAGCACAAGGTGTCTCCCTGCCAAGTCCGGGCCAGCTGCGGTCAGGAAGAGAGCAGGTTAGCGGCAGGGGCTCTGTCCACGTCGGGACCCTGGGGGCTCAGGGACCCGGGATCCCAGGCGTTCGCGACGGAGGGCAAAGCTGCCAGCTCAGAGCCTGCCCCTCAGGTGAAACCCAGCCAGCCTCCCTGGAGGAAACCGAAACTTGGCAAAGGAGGGAAAGAGAGTCTACAGGACGGGCCAGAAGGGAAGCAACAGAGCCCCAGGAGGGAGCCGCTCTTGTACACAAAGCACAATCCCCAGGGGCAGTTTCCAGAACAGGAGGCTCCTGACATGCCTGGGGACCCCAGCCAGCAGTACAGCCCCCCCTTTAACATCAGTAAGCTCCTGACGCCCATCATCCCCACCAAGCATGGTCTGGACGCCTCAACCAGCCAGCCGCCGGACACAACCCCCTCCCCGCCTGGCCAGCTCAATGGCTACCAGGAGAAGGAGCCCGGCGAATGTCCCTCACGGGACAGCTACAAGTCCAAGGCCCCCAGCCTGCTGTTCAACCTCAAGGATGTACGGAAACGCGTGAAGAGCACGTACAGCCCCTCGCCTCTCCTGAAAGGGCTGGACGAGAAAAGCAGAGGGAAGGCTGACGGCCAGCAGGAGGCCCTCAATGACTTGCTGCCCCTACCCAATGGGCTCCAGGAGAGCCCACCTCATGAGCTCGCCCAGGACAGCCCCGCCGATGCCCCTCCGGCATCCTACACCGGCACCCAGCAGGACCCGGCAGCCCGCCCCAGTGAGACCTCTGCAGGCAGCTATGCAGCCCTGGGCTCGCCTCCGACTCCTGCCCAAGCCCCGTGCTGTGTCAACGGGGAGGCTGTGGAGAGGAGCTGTGATGAGAAGGTTGAAGCCGCCGAGGACGGGGAGGCAGAGGTGGGTCCCGCCAGGCCCGGCTTCCGGCCGGACTCCAGGAACCGCCGCCCCAGGAAGCACCTGTCCCTGAAGCTTACGTGTGGCTTGGAATCTGAGGCTGTGGCGGTGGAGACCCAGCAGCTGCAGAATGGGCTCCCGAGATCCATCTCCCAGGACACGGAAGCCGAGAGAGAGCTGGGGCTTCCGAACATGCACCCGATGCAGAAATTCTCCCCAGGGCCTCTGTCACCGGAGGAGGAGGACGTGTTCTACAGTGACAGCCAGTCTGATTTTACGCCTGGCTTCCAAAGCAAGGCCAAGTTCAGCACCAGTTCCTCGGATCAGTCCTTTGCTTCATTCGACGAGCCGCAGAAGCCGTGGTTTGCCGCCACCGCCGCCGAGAGCCAGCGGGACGACAGGAGGAGTGATGGGAGTGCAGGTGATGGTGAGGAGAAGGAGAAAGGGGATGTGGGGGGCAGTGAGGCCCAGCCTCAGGCCGCCGCCGCCGCCGGGAACCGGAAGGAGTGTGTGCAAGAGCACAGGCAGAGGGAAGCGTTGTTGCAGAGAGAAGGGGAGAGACTGCCTGCAGGGAGACAGAGGGAGGCATCCACAGAGGAAGTGGATTTCAGAGGCTCTCAGCCCGAGGTGGTGAGGGACAAGGCCCCAGTGCACGCCAAAGACCCCATCCCCTCGCCACCTTCTGTGGCCAACAAGCACATACTGTTTGCCATCAAAGACAACACGCTCAGGGCCACCCCGGTCATCAAGCCGGTAATGCTGCCTCTCCTGAGGGCCATGTCCTCCGAGGGCTCGCTCAGTGGCAGCCACAAAGGGGACGACTCACCCAGGCCAGCGTGGGCTGAGGACGCCCAGCTGGGTGCCCCGGAGAGCCAGGGTAGGCGTGGCAACTGCACCCCTACTGACGAGTGGGGCACCCACCTGAAGCCCGGCGCCTCCCACGGCCTGGAGGACCAGGACACAGCACAGCAGCCCAGGGCGGCCAGCATGGAGGCCTCTCAGCCAGCGCACGAAGAGCTTTTCCCAGATCTGCCACTGGTGGGAGAAGGGGACAGGCGGAAGGTCCCCCTAGAGGTAGCCCGCAAAGCGTCCTGGAGCAAGAGTAGGTCCGCCATGCCCTGGGAAATCCCTACCATAGCTTTACCGGACAGCGACAGCGACCAGGCAACTCAGCCTCGCCCACAGCCGCCGGGCACCTGCTGGGAGGAGCAGGCGCGGGGTTTCCAGGGCCACTTTTTGGCTGCACCCAGAGCAGGGCCCCCAGGGAGAAGACTGCACCCCGGGGAGGCGGCGGCAGTGGCGGCTTCCCCAAACCCCAGCTCCCAGGAGGAGGGCAGTGCGTACTCCCCCGCAGCCAGCAGCCTTTGGGACGACACTTCCCAAGCCCCCAGCGAACCGGCGGACGAGCCCCCGCGAGCCAGCCCCTGGGCCGGCCCTGGTCAGGCCAGGGTCACGCGGCGCGAGGACCTGACGCACGCCCTGGTGTGGGAGACGGACGGCTCCGATCCCCAATTCGAAGGGGCCTCGGAAGATCTCCGGACGCTGTCTCCGAGAGGCGCACTGCGGGACGCCTTCCCTAGCCCCGCGGGCCCCCCGGAGAAGCCCGAGTCTCCTGCTCAGCCGCCGCCGCCGCCGCCACCACCACCACCGCCGGAGAGGGCGGCCGGCAAGCCTCCCGCAGTCCCACCCAAAACGGAGAAGGCCCTGCGGCGCGCCAAGAAGCTGGCCAGCAAGCGGCGCAAGAGCGAACAGGTGCGGGAGAAGCCGGCCGAGCCCGGGGACGCCACGCCCGGCGCCACCGCCGAGGACTGGGCACGGGCGGAGCGCAGGCCGCCGTCCCCGGGAGACGCGCCCCGGCCGCGCTGCGCCGCGCTGCGCTCGCTGCCGCCTCCCGCGCACCGCCACTCGGTGTCCGGCTTCCCGGAGCCCGTGGGGAGGTGGCCCGGGGGCCCCCAGGCGCTCACACCCCTGCCCCCGTACCCCGCCACCCAGAAGGTCCTCCAAGACCCGCAGTCCGGGGAGTATTTTGTCTTCGATTTGCCGCTGCAGGTGAAGATCAAGACCTTCTACGACCCCGAGACGGGCAACTACGTCAGGGTCCCGATCCAGGCCTCCGACGGGGGCTCCCCGGAGCCGCCCCCGGCCGACGCCCTGGCGGCCCCGTACGTCCTGTACCCGAGCTGCCGGCCGGTGCCCGTGACCGCCCTGAGGCCGCTGCGCTGCTCCTCCCAGCTGGCCGCCCCCACCTTCCTGCGGCAGGCACCCCGCGCCCTCGAGGGCTCCCGCGCGCGGCCCCAGAGCGCCCACGACGTGGGACTGCAGCTGAGCGCCGGACCCCGGAGCGAGCCCGCCCCGCAAGCCGCCACTGCCGCCCAACGCCCCCGGGGGCTGCCCAGGAGCCCGGTCGGGGCAGGCGCGGAAGCGCCGGACCTGGGCATCATTTCCACCGATGACTTGGAGGACTTCGCCACCGAGGGCATTTCTTGAGGGTCGCGGGAGCCTGACCCCCCCCCCCCCCACCCCCACCAGAGCTTAAGGCCCCTTCCCCCAGAGCCGCCCACGAGTGCACCCGAGACATCAGTAGGCCCCAGGCATTCGCCACCAGCAGGTGCAGGTCCTGAGACAGCCGGGCCTCTGAGGGAGGGGGCTGCTTGCATAGCCTGGACTCTCTGACCTCCTTGGCGATCCAGCCCCCTCACTTCCTCTGCCCCGCCACTAGCATGGGTGGGTCACAGGACAGTGGGGCTCTAAGGGTGCACTAATGCTGCACCCAACCTGCCCGCTCCCAGATCGGAGAGGCCCCCAGAAATGCTGAGCCCTGCTCTGGGCCCCGAGCACCCTACGGGGCCACACACCACACCACCTCGACTCCCGCCTCCCGCCAGGGGCCAGGCAGCACAGGGGTCCTGAAGCTCCAGGACCTAGCCAAGGCCGTGTCCCAGATATGATGAGCTTAGAACGGGTTTACTTCACCAGGGAAAATTTGTCTCCAGAAGCTTCTCCCCCATCAAAAGGAGGCCACCTTTTACAAAGTGAAACAAGTTTGCAGATGCAGTTCTGTCCTGTCTTTCTGTGAGCAGTGGGGGGGGGGGGGGTGTTATGGGGCAGGGGATCTCCGCCAGGAAGGAGAAAGGGAGACCCTCAAAGATGGCCCAGGGAAACTGAGTCAGGCCCTGGCTGCGCCTGTGTAGTGAGCCGTACCTGCCCCAGCCTCCGGGGATGCAGAGAAAGCATCTGAATGGGGGGGGGGGGCATGTGTCACCGCCCCTTTGAGAGTCTCAGAGCAGGTGCACAGGCAGGTGCACTGGGGTGGGGGGAGCCGTGCCGAAGCCGCTTCATTCCTGTTCTGGGAAAGACCCACTCCCTTGTTTATGTGGGGACTGTGGAGCCCCGAGCGTCAGGGGACTGTGCAAAATGCCCGGACTGCTCTGCTTGCCAGGTCAGCCCACGCCGCCACTGAGAGATGCCGATTGCAGACTTGCATGCGTTCGGGGCCTCTGAGCTGATTCGGAATTGTGATTTGGGGTCAGGGTCGTTCACCTGTTTGCTTTCTCAACAGGTACAGCCATACTTGAATTTCGTTATGACAATGCTGCACAAACCCCCACCCCATCCCAGTGCTCTGAATTTGGCTACCTCTGGTTTGCCAGCCAGGTGAGCAGCTGTGAGAGCAGGCATGCCGTTGTCCTGTAAATCTGACTGCGTGCGAGGAGAGCAAAGTCCTGCCTTGATGCCACCCCCACATCGAGGTCCCCTCCGCTTTTGTCATCTTCCTAAAACAAGAAAAAGCATGCCTCTCTAACATCTGCAGCGCCCTCACCTCAATGACAACCGTGGTGACAGCAACTGTGTCCCCACAAGGAAAACCGTGACTTTGGGGCATTTATTTGCCTCTGTCTTAGACGTAGCGCTGGCAGGACTGTGGGTGGAGCTAAAGCCCCAGGGACAGGTGCGTGAAGAGCAGTCCCCTTGGCTGGGCTCTGGCAGCTTGCAGCATCGAGGGAGTCCAGCCAGAAGGAAGCCCTCGCTTGCTCACTGCAAAGCGCCCGGGATCCCGGAAGCAGAGGCCTCCAGGGGACAGAACTGACAGTCACTAGCTGAGGACAGCTCCTTGGCCAGGGATGGCTGCTCTCTGTTCGACTCTAAGAGAAGCCATTTGTGCCTCCTTCCCTTCCCCCTTTTTCTTTCTTCTGTCTCTCCTCCCCCCAACCTCTCTCTCATTCCCCCTCCTCTTCTTCTCTTCCTTCCAGCCTCCTCTCTCTCTGTCTCTTTCTCTTTCTTTAGATTTATGTATTTATTTGAAAGGCAGAATTCCAGAGATAGGAAGAGAGAGAGAGAGAGAGAGAGAGAGAGAGAGAGAGAGAAATTGAGAGGGAGAGAGAGAGAGATCTTCCATCCAATGGTTTACTCCCCAAATGGCCAGGGCTGGGCTAATCCAAAGCCAGGAGTCAGGAGCTTCTTCCAGGTCTACCACATGGGTGTGGTGGCCCAAATACTTGGGCCATCCTCTACTGCTTTCCCAGGTGCATTAGCAGGGAGCGAATCAGAAGTGGAGCAGCTGGGACTTAAACCGGCATCCACATGGGATGCAGGTGGCAGATTTACCCACTGCACCACAGCGCCTGCACCACAGCACCAGCCCCACCCTCTCTTTTACAAACAGTTGCACTGTGCCAGGCACTTTGATGGGTGCTAAAGACACCAGAACTATGGAATCTGGTCTCTGCACTCAAGACACTAAACTCTAACAGAGGAGAAAGAGAGCCACGTGTTAGCCATTGCCTAGGTTGCTCTGAGCGGCTCCTAGCTCCTGCTGGAAGGAAGAGGGGCTTCCTCTGGGAGATGGGGCATGACTTGTCAGCCAACACCAACTGATACGTCAGCTTATGAGAAAAGCAGGCTTCTCCCAGCCCTAGTCATCGATCACAGATGGCGTCGATTAGATGCCGATAGATTTGCCTTACTGTATCAAGGTGCATTGATCTAGCAAATTGTTCTCGAACGTTTCCAAGCAGCAAGAGCTGAGGCAGTGCAGCTCCTCTCTCAGGATAAGACCTTTCTTGATATGCTCCCTTCGGCTTTTGGGCCGACATGTCACTCATCTGACTTGCTCAGAAAAACCACTGCATCTACCATTGTGTTATAGGACGGTGGTGAGAATTATGAAAACATAATTTCTGGAAACTGTGGGTGTCTCTCACATCTTCTTCTGGACACTGACCCTTTGTTTTTCAATGAGTCAGGGCCTCTCTCGGTGTCTCCTGGGGAGGGCACAGACATGTGGAGCATCTCAAAGGCACAAGCAAAGGTCCTGGGGCTGGTCAGCCAAAAATGACCAGGAGCTCCCATTGTGCAGCCTGTGCCTGAGATGGGGGTGCTGAGCCTGGGCCCAGTGAAGTTTTCCATGTTGGCACCACCGAAGGAAAGGCACGGGAACAGGATGCAGCTACCCACGGTCACACTGCCTCCCACGGAGGGCTCTGCAGGGGACGTGGGCCTCTCCATCTGTGGTCCCCGGCCCGGCTGCCTCACCGTCACTGGGAGTCTGTGTGAAACCTCAGTATGCATCCTCTCCCGGTGCTCTCGGCCTCTGCTTGCCTGGAGAGGACATGCAGGGGAGGCACACGCACTGGAGGTCTTCGCGGCTCCGCTGCACAATCTTGCTTGCTTGCTGGGTGCAGAGCTGCAGGGGGCGGGGCCGCGCTCAAGGTGAGCCGGGACCTCTAAAAGACTAAGAGCTGCCTGCATGCAACCTAGCAGCTCGGGCAGGTAGTGAGCTCCCCATGAGTGGAGACGTACAACAGAAACTGGCGCCCCCTTTCCTTTTTTTTTTAAAGATTTATTTATTTATTTGAAAGTCAGGGTAACACAGAGAGAGAAGGAGAGGCAGACAGAAAGAGAGGTCTTCTATCCGCTGGTTCACTCCCCAGAGGGCCACAATGGTCAGAGCTGAGCCAATCCGAAGCCAGGAGCCAGGAGCTTCTTCCAGGTCTCCCACGTGCGTGCAGGGGCCCAAGCACTTGGACCACCTTCCACTGCCTTCCCAGGTACATTAGCAGGGGGCTAGATCAGAAGTGGAGCAGCCGGGACTCGAATCGGCACCCATGTGGGATGCGGGCACTGCAGGCGGCAGCTTTAACCCACTACACCACAGCGCCAACCCCAGATCGAAAGCTTTGGACGAATGTTCAGCAGCACCGATCACTAGCGAAGTGCAAACGGGAGCCACCAGTAAGACGGTGCTATCAGAGCAAACAAGCAACAGCAACAACAGAAAAACGAACTGAGATGGCAAAGATAACTGGTATACCTTGTGCACCACTGGCCGGTCCCAGAGGCAGTCCTGGGCACCATCCCGGTGCTCTGAATTCCTTGCCCCCAATTCAAACAGGCCCCAGACTTGTCACTGCTGCTTCCCAGGGTCCTTCAATCCATCAGCCATCTGACCCCACTGTCACCCACACGCCCTGATTGCTGTCAGAGACTCCTGACTGCCCCCACTCCCAAACGACTGCCCACTGCGGTGCCCAAGGTCCTGACCCTGACCGGAACATGCTCACCTCAGGGAAGAGCTGAGCTCTAGGATCCAGTGAGCAAGGTCAGCAGGTACTGCAACCCCGGGGGCACTCATGGGAAACGGACAAGAGCAGACTGCAAACAACAGGCCAATAGGAAGCGGACCACTGAGGACCACACTTGGGACCCATAAGCAGGAGACAAGAGAAGGCAGTGAGCTTAGGGCCCCTGGAAGCAGACAAGGGAACACCAGCCGGGAGAGGGTGATGGAGGAGAAGGGAGGGAGGCTGTCACTTTATTAACTCAGCTCATGGCCTTCTCTTGTGCATCTCCTGTGCACCCTGGGGTGCCTCGCCTTGGACACACTGTCCTTCACGGGGGCTGTCCCTGACGCCCTCAGTGCTGGACATCTACCTCGGTCCACCAGCACCACGCACCTCCAGGGTGCTGTACATATCATGTGTCTCCTTTGCCCACCCGGTGGTCATTTTCTGGAGGGAGGGCTCTTGCCCGTAGGTTCTCCATGCATCTTCAGGGGCTGATGCAGATCACCAGTAAACATCGAATACACTAGGATTCTTATTTTAAAGTTGAATTGAAGCCATTCCAAAAAAAAAAAAAAAATTGGGAGAGCAACCAGTGCTGTTGTGACTGCATGTCCATACTTCCCGCAACAGTTTGCTCGTACAGGTGAGCCTGTACAGGTGAGCGCAGGGTCTGTGCTCCCCTGACGGCTGTGTCGTGGCAGCCGCGCAGGCTACCCCCACCCCACCCCCAGTGGGGTCTCAGGGACTGGAGGCCCAAGAACAGATGTCTTGCCGCGTAGCCCTAAGTGAGTACCGCATTTAACTAATGTTTCCTTGATGAGAGGGCCAGCCCTTGCCAGCAAAAAGAGGCCAAAAGCCTTGCCCAGCACTCAGAGCAGCGTCCAAAACTCTGATGAGAACCAAATTAGCGTTCGGTTTCGTGACCAGGAAATGATGAGTGCATTAGGCGAATTGTGTTAGGTGAGGTTGGTGATGGGGCCTGGATGCTGGTTGAGTGCCACGGGGGACCGCGCGGCAGCCCGCTGTCTTCCAGAGTCTTTTCGTCCTGTCTGGTTGCCAAACGGCGAGGCCAGGCTAAGTGGTGACGGGGGCTTCCCCTGGAAGCCGCCCGAGAAAAACCAAGGGTGCGATAGCCTTAAGGGTTCTTTTATGTCTCCTGTCTCCCGCGGTTCAGTGCACCTGTCTAATCTTAGTTCCATAGACATGGAAATAAATGTTAGCAGAGGGAAAAAATTGGCTCTAACGGACAAAGAGCACCACTACCTAAAGCCTCCACCTAGCTAGGGGTCAACCTGTGACACTGATATATGACCAAGCACAGAGGAGCGACAGAAAATTCTAGAATAACCAGAAGACATCCGACATTTGTGTATGTCAGTTTCCTGGTGAATTTTTGAGACAGGTGATTCTGGAGGCTCTTGGAAAGTCAAATCGGATGCTGCGAGATGTTTCTAGATCTAGATGTCTCCAGATGCTCTAGAAAGTTCTCCCAGCTTCCTATGAGTATGTCCTTCAGACTCCAAAACCTTGAAACCAGCTGGCCCCAGCTAAGGGCACTTGTGCAAGGAGCGCTGACCACACTGTCTGCCCAGAGGGTGTTACCTTTGCCACGGGACTGGGGAAAACCACTGCCGCTTGCACTCCACAATGTGGGGAGGTAGAAGCTTCCAGAAGCCAGGAAAATGCCCAAGTCATATTTGAATCTAATCTGAGTCTTCCGGGCTCATGAATCTCAGCTCTATGTTGCTGACCCTGAAGATGCTCTAGGCCCCGTCAAATTGTCGGTGTGACTTCCTTCTCTCTGTTAGGCAGCGACTCCAGTGAGCCAGGTGAGACAGGTGAGTCTGTCCAGGTGGTATCTGTAGATGCATCCAGGTAGGCCATTCTGAATTAAACCACGACCTTTCGGACTTTTTAAAGGGATTTTTATTTATTTGAGAGGTAGAATTACAGACAGAGAGAGGGAGAGACAGAGAGGTCTTCCATCCGCTGGTTCACTCCCCACATGGCCACAACAACCAGAGCTGGGCTGCTCCGAAGCCAGGAACTAGTAGCTTCTTTCAGGTCTCCCACGCGGGTGCAGGGACCCAAGGACTTGGGCCATCTTCTGCTGCTTTCCCAGGCCACAGCAGAGAGCTCACTCGTGTCCGTTAGAAGTGGTGGATGCACCTGTTTGCTATGAAAACGTCCCCAGCACAGCCATACCTCCCAATCTGCACTGATTGGCTCCCTCATGCAGACACGTTACTACAAATAAAATTAATAAATACACGTGGATATAATCTCGTGCATAAAAGCAAAAGATTGGTGATGGTTTCAAAAACTAAAGTAAAATGGGTCAGGTGTTTGGCCTAGCACTTAAGATGCCACAGCCGGGGATGGTGCTGTGGTGCAGCAGGTAATAGGGCCGGCATCCCATATGGGCGCCGGTTCGAGTCCCGGCTGCTCCACTTCCGATCCAGCTCTCTGCTGTGGCCTGGGAAAGCAGCAGAAGATGGCCCAGGTCCTTGGGTCCCTGCACCCATGTAGAGACCCACAAGAAGATCCTGGCTCCTGGTTTTGACCTGGCCCAGCCCTGACCATTACGGCCATGTGGGGAATGAACCAACGGAAGGAAGACCTTTCTCTCTCTTTCTCTCTCTCTTTCTCTCTCTCTTTCTCTCTCACTAACTCTAGCTGTCAAAAAAAAAAAGGAGCATCTAGAATGGGGACTATGAGGACATGACAGCCCTAAATGCGCCCCTGCTCAGAAACAGAGCTCAAAACTACAGGAGGCCAACGCAAGTCCCAGAGACACGGCATTGCGTCCCCAGCAGCCCGGCAAACGTGCGAGTTCTGACAATCCCAGGGCTGGCAAGGACAGAGTATTCTAGAACACTGCTTGTGAGAATATCAGTACAAAGAAGCGGCCTTATGTGTCTGTTGATACAGGACAAGATGCCAACATCACACAGTTTCGCTTGACGTTTGAAGGCTAAGGAATTTATCCCCACACCCTCGATCATCCCTGAGATGACTCAGAGACTCCTGTAGCCCTTGGTTGCGTGATGGCACTGGGGTAATCCGGGTCCTTGTTGGGTCTCTTGCTGATGGAAATCTGGCAGGAACCAGAGGCGGTGAGCAGAGGGGTCCACAGATGATCCAAACGCAAAACGTCTCAGCATTCAGGAAAAGATCGCGGCCGAGCGCCTCGGAGCGCCGGGAGAAGGGCTGCGAAAGCCCGCCCCGGGGAGGAATCCTCTCCACCGAGAAGCTGCTCCAAGTGTCCGTGCCCCACTCTCGATGCCTTTAAACTCCCCTAAAAGTAGGTTCTGCAGAGGATCCCAGGCAACCAAAGGACCACAACCCGGGCACGGCGTTCCGGTCTGTAAACTGGGACAAAAGTCTAAGCAGAGACATCGCCCCTTTCAAAAACTTCACTCAAAATGAGTTTTGTATCCGGCCATCTAAAACTACTCTTAAAAAAAAAAAATGATGATGAAATCATTTAAAAAAAATCATCTATTATTTTTCACTTTATGTTTCTGTGTGGGAGCAACTGTTGAAATCCATACTTGATGTATACTAAGCTGATCTTCTGTATATTAAGATAATCAAAAATGAATCTTGATGTGAATGGAA